TTTTTTCCCCTGTGCCATTCCACATTATTACAAATAACTTCATTTCTGGACATTTATGGTTTGATTTCTTTGTATGTATGGATCACTTGGGTTGTTACCGACATCTGGTGAAAATTTCATGTCATTAGCACCTCTAGTAACATATTTACTGAGAAAAATGGTGACGTGTTCAATACTTAGTTTACCCGCTGTAGATGCTGTGTGATATGAGACTGGTCAAATAAAGTTGATAGGAGTCCAACATGTTTGACATGTTGTGACATGTTTTCAGCTGTGTAACGTCCGCTTTCATCACCCCGTCTGTTTTTTTTAAACCAAAGGTAACGGTTTTACTGCAAATACTTCCCTGTTCTTTTATAATCCAGGATTTCAGCAGCTTTAAATAAAACTTTAATACCAATTAAATAAAACTGCAATCTGGGACCTGGACTCTTCCACAGAACCATCCTTTCCAATTCATGTAGCTCATAACTACGTTTTATTCAAAAATAAAAATTAAATCAAACAAACCCCCAAAAAGTGACATTGCAGCAGCTTTTAAAAAACCTCGGACTCCTCCTCATTATCTCCTACCATCATGAGGCGGGCGATCAGGAAATGGAGATGGAGATACTCATTGTGTTCTTGTACTGTTTAAGCCTAATGTAGGCTGTAAATTGTTTACAAATGAAATGTTTTAGCTTTTTTTTACATTATTGTTTTTAACTAAGGTTATATAGCACTTCATATGTGTTGTAATAATGTAACAACTACCTAAACTACCATTCACCAAAGCTGAATATGCACACTGCAGGTCATACGGTAAATTTCATCTGTTTTTGTCCTGATTCAGCTCAATAATCCAGGTAAGGAAAAAAAAGCAGCTGAGGATTTCCACTGAGCGAGTTCTCCTTTGTTGAAGAAAACGTTTTGTCTGAACAAACAAGTTAACGATGACGACCAAAATGCTCCTGTTTTTGCATGTGAACAAACAGTTTGGATCGTCATCATTAAACTTGTTTGTCCAACATGAGGAACTAGTACTGCTAATGAGTTCATACCTGCAACTGCAGGCTGAGGAAGTTTCCTGGAGAAGAGACGAATCGTTCTTTTCGACAAAGAACTCACCCAGAGGACCTCCTCAACTTTTTTGTTAGATAGTTTTTTTTGTGCTTGAAAATGAGCATTTCTTGCGCTGACTGACTAGCACATAGAGTTTGACATTTTTATTCATAAATAACCATATTTAGAAACTCGCATCGTCTCATTTCATGTAATAAACTAATAAATGTCTGAGCTCAGGAATAATGGTGCGACAAAGAAATAAAAGATAATTTCAATCAGTTTTCAGGGTCCTAACTGTTTAACGGTGTGGGTTTTTCAAGCAGCAGTGTTGTTAGGAGTCTGTAGTTGGTATTTTTAGATAAAATACAAACTTTCAGAGTTCCCTTCCTCCACCTGGAGGCCTGCAGCCATTTTACACACATTTCCATTAAAACTCATTTAAATTGGGAATTCATAAAATCTACCTTGTCTCCTTCTTTACAGTCTGCATTCTTTTTTTTTGGTTTGTTTTCAAGCCCAAATAAATCTAAAAATAACTACTGCAAAGCAGCAGCACTTTTGAACATAAACCACAGTTTTCTGAAAGGAAATGAAATGTGTTGCTTTTATTTTCTCTTCTCTCTTGTGTCTCTCCATCACTCCGTTCTTCGTGTAATTGCACGGATTATAAATAATCCCAAAGCCCGCGGCTGTTTGTGGATCATCAGGAGTCTTTACGCAGATTATAAACTGCTTCATTCATTTGTGCGCTCTGATGTTTTGATCTTCAAACTCACTTTATTCAGATTGAGAAATCCGAAGCATCTTTTGTTAAAATGAAGCGTTTAAACCTGCTTTGAGTTTCATGAGCAAATCATCTGCTGCTGATGTTGAAAACCGTATATTTTTCTTAGTTAAAAGATCAAAGAGAAGAGCTAAAACTATAAAACCCACAGAAGGTGGTGGGTGATGTGCCTTTTTTTTAAAGGAACGCGAGATCTTTAGTTTTACGTTTCTATCTACAAACACATCCTCAAATCCTTCATCTGTGTAAAAAAACAACAAAAACCCACTCCGCGCGCTCTGAGATCACTGTTATATAACGAGGAGGAGCTGCCCTGCCAAACAAACACAAAAAAGGGCAGAAGGATGAGTGCAGAACTACATGAAAGCTTTGCTGTTGGCATGGCAACCACCCGAGGATGGCGAGGTTTGATGTTTGACGTGTCGACGGGAGATTCTAGGTTGGTTGAGGAGGAAAAACTGGTTTGATCCGGTGCAGAGCACTCATCGTCTCTTTAGATTTTTGTATTATTGATGTTTTATTTTCACACTTTTTAAATTTTTTTTCTCTTGGTGATTCAGAATGGTGACGCTCGCCATGAAAACCACTTGTTGATTGGTCCTCTCAGCTCCTCACAGGACCAGCCGGTGTTCTCAGACCCTGCAGCAGGTCTGGGTCTGAGCACTGCTTTGTGTTGCTGTTGCACATTCACAACTCCAAGCTCTAACACACATTGTTGCAGAGTTCGTAATGTCATTTTCAAGGTTTTGTCGTTTCTCTGTAAGAGGATCTTAGTTTAAAACTGTCGTGAAARGTGGTGGACCTTTTAATTTCTTATTTTTTTCTTTGTTTGTATCAAATATATCAAACACAACTCCAGCTACCATAAATGTGTGTCTCTGTCAGTGGCCATCAACAGCTTCATCAGCGTCCCTTTCTCTGTGTGTTTAGGTTTTTATCTCTGTCTCATTTGTTTTATTTCGCTGTCGTCATGTTAGCTCTTTTACAACCACAGTGACTCGCTTTTCCACGACTCGCTCTCTTGTTCTGTTCAGACTCCATTCTCTCTGCTGTTATTCTCAGGTAAAAATGCTTGCTTTCATTTACAACATTAGAAAAAAATGTGTCAATATTAGTTGGGATAAACCCACATTTTCCTAGCTTGTTTCTTGTTGTTCTTTCAGCACAACTTTAGCATCCTGTGCTGAGAGAAAAAAAAACTAAATTTAAAGGGGCAAAATTATGTGTTTCTCTGGCATCTATTTAAATTCTATACCATAATAAAGTATCCATGTCACCTTTAATTGTTATTAAAATGCTGTTTTTATGTTTAAATAGAAAATAAACTTATCTTCTCATCACTTCCTCTTCTAAACACCTTGAAATCAGCCTGTCTCTTTTTTTTTGGGGGGGGGGGGGGGGGGGGGGGTTGAAACAAACAGTAGGCAGCTGAACCGTCTGGATCAGCTTTTGTTGCTGGTGAAAAGAGCGTCCTCCGTAAACCTGAGGCTTTCTCAGAAATGTGTACACTTACAACATGAGCTTAAAGCCGGCTGGCTAGAACAGGTTTGTGTGAAAACTTCAGCTATAACGTTAAATATTATCTCTTCTAGCCCACCACCTTCATGCTTCCTCCTCTTGCATGCACGCCAGAGCTAAATATTTAATTTCTTCTGGTGGTGCGTTTGAATTTAGCAGATATTTCTTGTTTATTTGAGCTGGAATGTAAAAAAAAAAAAAAAAAGTCCTGCTTTGAGGAAGGAGAGAGAATAAACCAGGCTGAGCTTCGGTTAGCTCGACCTGCAGAGGATCTCTTTACTCTGAGTATTCTTCTCCTGGAAAAGTGGCTTCAGTGTAAGATTACAGCTTCTGTTTGATCAGCAGGAGCCACGCCGCACAAAATGCTTCTAGCAAACACAAACGCGGGTGATAACACCTATTTGTTGAAAAGTTTGCCACAGTTTCATTCATATCTTTGTCCTGTAAAAGTAAGTTTTGAAAACCGTGTAAAGAGCAGTTAACTGCCTCTTTACTTAAATCATCAGCTTTTTTACTATTATTATTTTTGTTTTGGTTCAGTTTCAGTAGCCACAGCTAGGCCTGATTATTGCCACACTTGTAGAAACAGGAACTCATCTAAATAGAGCCACACACCCAGACAGTATGATCGACTCCTCCAGGAGGTCCCCAAAGAGCCCAGAACATCTGAAGACCTGCAGGCCTCACTCGCCTCATTTAGGGTGCACGATTCAACTGTAAGCAGGAGTTGAATGGCAAAAGTGTCCTCCATGGGTTTAAAAACATCTTTCGTACAACTTTTATTTACTTTTAGTCAATCTAAAGCATTCATGGGTTTCTAGAAACTCCTCAAGCGTTTGCAAACAAGGATGTTACATAAAAGAGTGAGTTACCTTCTTTTTTTTGGTGCAGTTTGGAAAAGATAATTTCCTGTTTCAGCTTATCTTGGTCATACAGTGAACGTTGGCACAAGACTCAAAAAGCAGCATTATTACTTTTTTTATAGTCTGCTGCCATAAAAGTCAGGCAACCATGAAATTACATGTAAGTCTGCTCAGGTTTGTTTCTCTGTCTTTTAGCAAAATATCTCCTGAACCAACATATGGATTTTAATGGCACCCTTAGAAAATCGTCACTGGATTTATAACTAATCAACCTGATTCAAGGTATTCGAGGATTCAGCATAGCTGAGCTAGCTCTGTTTCCTCCACCGACTGTGAGAAAACATCAAAAGATGAAAATGTAATTTTAAAACACGCAGCGCCAGGATGCTGTTTACCATTATCCTGTATGAGTTCAATCAACGCAACCTGTTTCTAACGTTAGGCAGCTGGAAACAGACGATATTGTTTCTGTTTGTGCTTAAACGGAGGCAGTACAGGGAGGTGCTTCCCTATTGTTGCAGCAAACAGGAAGTTACAGCGCGAGGGCGATAAGAGGAAGTCTACGTTGAGGAGATCACCC